TATGCCATGTTCTTCTCTCTGGTTTATCTGGTAACCATAATGGGAAACCTTGTCATTGCTGCTGTCACCACTCTTGACAAGAGCCTTCACACACCCATGTACTTCTTCCTGAGAAACCTGTCCATCCTGGACTCCTGCTACATTTCTGTCACACTCCCTAACTCCTGCATGAACTCCCTGCTGGGCACAAGGTCCATTTCAAAGGCAGCATGTGCAGCTCAGGTTTTCCTTGTGATTTTCTTTGCATTTGTAGAGGTACTGTTTCTCACCATCATGGCTCACAACTGCTTTGCAGACATCTGCAGGCCCCTCCATTACGCTGTGATCATGAACCCTCGCCTGTGTGTCCACAGCACACTGGCCTCTCTGCTCAGTGGCCTCATCTATGCAGCTATGCACACCATCAACACCTTCAGGCTGCCCTTCTGCCACTCACATGCTGTCCAGCAGCTCTTCTGTGACATCCCCTCTCTGCTGAAGCTGTCTTGCTCTGACACCTTCAGCAACCAGATCACAATTTTTGTGTCAAGTCTAGTGATATGTGGTGGCTGTTTCATTTATATCATCAAGTCTTATATTCATATCTTTTCTAGTGTGCTCAAGTTTCCAGTGGGAGCAGATAGGAAAAAGGCCTTTTCCACCTGTGTCCCCCACATTCTTGTGGTGTTGCTTTTCCTCAGCTCAGGGTTTTATGTCTACCTGAGACCCTCTTCAGTTTCCACCAGCATCAGAGACATGGTTCTGTCTATGTTCTACTCTGTAATCCCCCCCCTCTTCAGCCCTATTATTTACAGTCTCAGAAATGAACAGATAAAGTGCACCATCAGAAAACTCATCACAAGAAAGCTCTATTCAGGAAATGTATTGAGGACTAAGAAAGTTTTCCCTATCCAACTAAGTCATAGACATGTTTTTGGCAATATATAGATATAACTTATTAGAGTTATTATGTATTCTTCATGCAAATTTATTATCCAAGATGGTTCAACATATCATATATCAAGATTACTTTTCTCTGTTGTCTTATACAATTTTAACATTCTATAAGATATTTGGTATTATGAGGAAAAATCCCAATGGCTGTGAATTTCAGTAAAAATTTTCCCCAGTGTCAATTGTGTGGAAAATGATTAGATCATTGGGCATTCCACTCTTCAATGGAGTCACCCATTAATGACCTCAGAGCTGAATGTGCTGTTAGGAGTTTACCGTGGTCAGAACAAGTGCATCACTGGGGCAATCGCTGTTAGGAGTTTACCGTGGTCAGAACAAGTGCATCACTGGGGCAATCTCTGGACAGGGTCTTTGTGTGCCCTGCTCCTTCCTTCAACCCCTACTTTCCTGCTGCCATAGGATCAGCACGGTCCACCCTGGCCTTCCACCAGCACTGTCATGTTTGAAGCCTACTACGTTTGGATTGAATTCACTGGAAAGTATGAATCCTCCCCTCTTTTGTGTTGTGGGTATCTGTCCCAGGCAGCAGAAAGTGACTAGTTCAATAATAATACAAGGATTCCAACAAAGATTCTCATCAAAATCGGCAGTCCTGTGGACTATGTGAAGTAGTTCAGTGCTAGATTTCTTGCTGAGCCCATGCAAGGCTCTGGGATTCATTCAGAGAGCTGAACAATATCAGCCTTAAAAGGCCCAAAAGGATGAATTGAGACCATTTACATTGATGGTTATAACTGATATGCATTGATTTCTCATTGCTATATTGTTTTCCTG